TATCCTCTTAGCAGCATCCATGTGTACCTTTCAGTGCCTACCAGGAGCCACGTAGCGAGCCAGACGGCCAAGAGGGTACGCAAGGTCACGACGAGTGCAGGTCATCAGGTACATGAGGCAGCCTACTAGCTCTGGGTAAGGACCACTCGGCTTTACAGACTCGTCCGAAGGTGGAGCTGAGAGCGAGTGACCTGTAGCCAGAGGAGTGGCATGTGCCGAGGACCAGGTGAAGCCGAAGCGCTGAAGGACCTGCTGCACCATGTGTGACTGAGTCAGTGTGATGGTGCGGCGTGCTCTGTCCCGGGTGATCTGCAAGCCAAGGTAACTACGCAGCTCACCCATGTCCGTGCACGTGTGTCTCTTTTGCAGCTCCGACTTCACCAAGGCGAGAGCCTCAATGTCAGCACTGGCAAAGACCAAGTCGTCGACGTACATGAGGATGTAGAACGGCGGCAGCGAAGTGTCGGTGCGCAGTTGCAGCGACAGGTCAACAGTAGAAGGAGCAAACCCAAGAGCAGCAAGAGTCGTCCTCAGAATGTCGTCCCACTCACGGGGTGCCTGGCGGAGACCGTAGACCGGCCGCCGGAGGCTCCACTGGGTACCAGGAGGAAACGACCCAGTGAAGCTAGGTGGGCGGCGCAGCCAAATCTCCTCGTGCAGGCTGCCCTGTAGGAAAGCAGTGCTGAAGTCAAGAGAGTGGAGCTCGTAGTCACGCTGAGCGGCGACGTGCAGCAGAACCCGAAGAGTGGTCATCTTCGGGGTAGGGGAGAAGGTCTGGAAGAAGTCAACTCCCTCACGGTGACTGAAGCCTCATGCAACGTAACGCGCCTTGAAGACAGGCGGAGAACCCGGCGGCCGTTTCACCCTGAAAATCCACATGCCAGTGACGATGTTCGCCCCAGGCGAGGGAACCTCGTCGACGTAGGTGCCAGTGGACTTCCAGGAAGCCATCTCTGCGACCATGGCTAACTGCCACTGAGAGGATTAGGGACCCTCTATCGCCTCTGCGTAAGAGCGCGGGGTCGGGATGTCTGGTGCATCCGGGTCTCCCTCAGGGGCAATCAGCATGGACACGAGATGAGGAAAAGTAGCGGGAAAGCACTCAAACTCCTCCTGTCTGTCCTCAAGGACGTCCGTGCTAAGAGCACACTCACCCCCGACGGACGGAGGACAGACAGACTCAGACTCAGCAACAAGACTAGCACCATAGTCTAGACGACAGGCAGTAGCTAATTCAACAAGCTCAATGATGAAGGCAGACGCAGCAGCAGACTCAAACGACGAGTCCGTAACAATAGTGGCTACCAGACGCGTGACAGTAGGGTGAGTAGCATGAGCGCGGTCGGACTCATTGTCTGGAATGTCAGGCAGAGAGGACGCAGGAGGGGACGGCAGGGGAACACGCTGCGGAGCAGAGGAAGGACGCAGAGCCATGAGGTGTGTGCCGTGGACAGCCGGCGGACGCTTACGAGGAACACGACGACCAGTACGACCAGTGCGGACAGTGCGAACAGGCGAGACAGGACGAGACGCAGGCTCACGACGCTCAGTAAGACCCCCCTGTCTACTCAGTGTAAGGAGAAAGAGCAGGCAGCGGTGAGCCAGGCTGTAACGGAAGAACAGTAGAAGACGGGAGGCTAAGAATCTGGCGAAGCACAGAGTCAGGCGGTGGCAGGGACGAAGGTGACGGCGGAGCGAAGAACAGTCGCGGCTGTGCAGGGCCACCAGCACCAGTAGCTCCAGCACCTTCAGCAGCTCCAGAACCTCCAGCTCCAGCGCCTCTAGCGCCAGCACCTCCAGCAGCTCCAGAGCTTCCAGCGCCAGCTTCTCCAGTACCAGCACCTCCAGCAGCTCAAGAACCTCCTGCGCCAGCACCTCCAGTACCTTTACCTCCAGTAGCTCCAGAACCTCCAGCTCCAGCGCCTCCAAAGCCAGCACCTCCTGTACCAACACCTCCAGCAGCTCCAGAACCTCAAGCTACAGCACCTCCAGTACCAGTACCACCAGCAGCAGGACCTCCAACCTCAGAGTCGACAGCAGCACCTCCAGGTTCAGCAGTACCTTCAGTCCCAGCAGCTCCAGTACCTCCAGTATGAGCACCTCCGAGACTAGCGGCTCCTGGAGCCCCAGTAGAAACACCTCCAGTAGCAGAGTCACCAGCTCCAGCGCCTCCTGCAGCAGGGCCCCCAGCTCCAGCAGCGTGACCCTGACGGCTAGCGTACCACTCACGCAGCTGCTGTGGGGAGAGAGGGACAGACCAACTACAGTGCCTCCAACGCCAGCGCCTTCCGTAGCAGGGCCCCTAGCTCCAGCAGCGCGACTCTGACGGCTCACGTACCACTCACACAGCTGCTGTGTGGAGAGAGGGACACGCCTACGAGAGCGCTGCGGCGAGGCACCAGCGGAGCGACTACGGAGGCGGCCGCTCCAAGGAGACTGCTCACCACACGCCTCAGTGCCCCCAGGCGCAACACCCCCAGACTCAGTACCCTCAGGCTCAGCACCCCCAGACTCCTCACACCTAGGAGGACCTGGGTCACCAGTGACCTCAAATGGCTCAATCAAGGGAGGAGGGTCCTGAGACATACTTGAAGGAGCAGGACCGGGAGCGGAGAGGGGGTCTACCTGAGGAGAACCTGGAGCGAGAAAGAGCGGTGGGGGGGGGGGGGGGGGGGGGGGGGGGAGGGGCAGTGCGGTAGGGAAACAGACGGTAGAAGGGAACCGACTCGTCAAAGGTGACGTCCTGAGACGGAAAGACACGACGCGAGGCGGGGTCGTAAAACTGCCAGTCAGGCGCGTCAGGGGGGAAACCAAGGAAGACGCAGGGAATGGCGCGAAGGGAGAACTTGTCCGCACTGGTGCTGCTGCTGCTGCTGCTGTTGTCCCTGGCCACCACTGGAGCTCCCCTTCTGGCCGGCTCCACTCCAGCTCCCACCACCGCTGCCACCACCGCTCCCTCCTCCCCCACTCCCGCCGCTGCCACCTCCACTGCCCCCGGTACCTCTGCCGCCCCCACCACCACCTCCACCCCCACGACCACCCCCACCACCTCCACCACCCCCACCGCCTCCATCACCGCCCCCTCCACCGCCACCTCCACCTCCCCTGCCACCCCTGCTGCCCTTGGCGCTGTGGCGCTTCCCACTAGGAGCGGAAGCAGCCCCGACCTTCTCAGGACCAAGGTAGTCCAGAGCAGCTGCATCAAAGGCGTAGGAGGGGGCAAGAGGGGTGGGGGAGCACCCCTCAAAGAGGGGAGTGCGAGGAGTGCCACGAGCAGCACCTACAACGAGAATGTTCTTTTCAGCTGCTAGGAGGTGCGTCTCGAAGTTGGCGACAGTGAGAGTGGCCGGGTCTAGGGCGAGAAAGTGGTCCCAGACTGGGCGAAGAGTGTCAGGGAGGCGAGTGATGAGGAAGTAGAGAGTTAAGTACATCGGGGGGTGATTCTCGGCGATGAACTCGAATGAAAGGGCGGCACGAAAGCGAGCGTCACTAGCGCGGAGGTGAGAGATGAGGTCCTCAGCGGTGGTAAACGAGGACAGGTCGGGGAACAGGTAGGGTAGCATGAGACGGCCTACGGCTGCAGCGGCTGGGGAAGAGTAGCGGGCAACTACAGCCTCATACAGTGCCTTAGCAGTCTTGTGCTGACTAAAGTGCGCGCGCTTAGTGATCGGCAGATGGTTGCGAATAGCGAGGCGCGCAGCAGCATCGCGAGTCTGCCACTGTAAGCGGTCAAGAGCGGTAGCAGTGTCAGCAGGAGCAACGGAAGTGCCAGTCACGTAATCGAACAGTGAAACTCCATCTTTGGCATCAGTCAGAATGAACAATTGCAGGTCGTCGAGCCAAGTGGCAAACTCTATCGGGCGACCGTCAGAATCGAAAGCTAGGACATTAAGAGTCGCCATGAGTGCAGCGCAGGTGAGAGTAGCGCGTAGGCGGCAAGGCAGAGCACAGACAGGAGAAGCTGCACACAGGGCGGCTGTGGCGGCGCACAAGCTGCTTTGGCGGCACGCACGTGGCTAGGGCGGCGCGCAGGGCAGCGGCGAGGCGCGCGCAGGGTGCTGAAGCGGCGCGCGGGCAGGTAAGGCAGCGCGCAAGGCAGGAGCGGGCCGCGCTAGGGCGGCGGACGCAGCGCGCTGGGCAGCAGCGGGCTGCGTGGGCGGCGAACGCGGCGTGCGGGGCAGCAGCGGGCTGCTCGGGCGGCGGACGCGGCGTGCGGGGCAGTAGCGGGCTGCGCGGGCGGCAGATGCGGCGCGCGGGGCAGCAGCGGGCTGCACGGGCGGCGTGCGCGGCGCGCGGGGCAGCAGCGGGCTGCACGGGCGGCGGACGCGGCGCGCGGGGGTAGCAGCGAGCCGCGCGCGGGCACCTAAGATGGCGCGCGGGGCAGCAGCGGGCCGCGCGCGGGCTCTTAAGGCGGCGCGCGGGGCAGGACCAGGCGGCGTGCCCGGGACTAGGGCAGCGCGCGCAGGCAAGGCAGAGGCGCGCGCGGGCAGCGCAGAGCAGGCAAGACAAGGCGCGCGCGGGCAGCGCAGCACAGGCACGACGTGGGGCAGCTCAGTAATTGCAACGGTAGGTGGGCCCTAAAAAATCGGTCCTACGGACCTACTGCTCTGATACCATGTCAGAATGCTAGGCAGGAATGGATGAACTAGGAAAGTGTTGGGTAGAAATATGAAACCCTAGAAGGGGCTGTACCCCATATTGGCTACCCCACTGCAACCTAAACATATATAGCATATATATAATTTGACAGATGCCGGTAGTAGCAACGTAGCATTTGAGTACAGCTTAACAGCTTCAGTACTGTACAATTCCATGAAGTGTACTACTGCGATGGTCTGAAATAGGTAAGGCTCTTGGGATAACTAAATATATTAGATACAGCAACAAATACTGTATGTTGTGTAGTATCAACACAAGCTCAAATACAGGACGTCTGGTGGCTATGCTCGAGGAGCAACCTCTTGCTCTGGACCTTGGCAGGCAATCACAGCCCTTTCCCTTCACCTTGCTCCCCCACACACAATGTCTCGCACGGCTTCTCGTGCCACTTCCCTTACTATCGACCTCTGCTGCCTATGCCTGCCAAATCGCGGGACATACCAAACCACAGTGGCTGTCCCACCACCACCACTGCCATCACCACCACCACTCCCCATCCTGTCCAACCGAACCCTGCCTCCTCCCCTCGGTGCATTCAAGCACAGCTTGAAATCTGCTGACCTCTCGTCCTTGTCCCTCTGTGCAGGCTCTGTTTGGGGATTTTCATAAATATCACTAATACATCCCGCAAATAACCAGGTGCTGCTGCTGCTGCTGCTCGTGCTGCTGCAGCTGCTATTGCTATCGCTCCTGCCAAACAGCCTACCGCTGTTTCCGCAGTTGCACTTACTCAAATGTAAGCACTTGCTGCTGCTGCTGCTGATGCTGCTGCTATTGCTATCACTCCTACCAAAAGTCCTACTGCTGTTTCCGCAGTTGCACATACTCAAGTGTAAGCAGTTGCTGCTGCTGCTGATGCTGATGCTGCTGCTCGTGCTGTTGCTCCTATTGAACCTCCTGCTGCTGCGGCTACTTCCCTGGCGGCGGGTTATACCCCGGCTCATTGAAAAGGGTGCGCAACCCATCGCTTCTGCACTGCCAGGCGATTCTTGAGTCGACTCAAAAGTTCCCTGGCGGCGGGTTATACTCCGACTCATTGGAATTGGAAAAGGCGCACAAGCTATTCCTGCTGCACAGCCAGCCTGCTTTTCAGCCAGATCGTAATGCTGCTCCTGCACCTCCTCGTCTTCCTCCCCCTTCTCCCCTTCCTGCTCTCGCTGTTCTCTGCCCCCACCCGGCTGCTGCCTCTGCTGCTGCTGCTGCCGTAACCTCCCCTGCTGCTGCACATGCCACACCTGCTGCCGATCCTGCTGGGCCAAGGGAGGAGCTTGAAAGCCTCTTACCCCACACAAGGAGCAAGCAGGGACCATTGCAGGGCTCTCTGGCTCATCCCATGCATCTTCCTCCATCGCACACCACTCCACTGCACACTCCTGCACCGCACCCCCTTCCACCGCACCCCCTTTCACCACACCCCCGCTCACCACAGGCCAGTCCATTTTCTCCTTGCCTGCTGCAAGCTCAGAAAGCTGCCCCCAAGACAACTCAGGCACCATTCTGCTGCTGCCGGGCAGGTTGGAGGAAATCTGAGCAAACTTAAGAACCTGCAAATCAGGAGCGCTGGTGCCATTCCGAGCCAGCAGGTTCGGCTGCCTTGCCTGACCTGGCTGTTCTTCCTCGGTACAAAGATTTTCAAAGGGAGGAAGGCCTCGGCGGGCGTGAAGTGCGGGAGTAGACAAGGAGGAATTTGAAGCAATCAGTTGATGATTGCTGGTAGAATTAACGTCGATGCTGTTGGCACTTTTGGAAGGTTTGACCCTTTCACGAAGTGTAGATGGGTTGCGAGTAGTGCTTCGTCTAGAATGAACTACACTGCTGCACTCCACAGAGCTGCGCTGTACAGTGTTGCGATGATGCTCATTAAGGGAACCACACGAAACGGACTTATTAGCCGGAATTGCTCCTGGTGGTAATCCTGATGCTGATGTCGCTGGAGGACTGTGGCATGGAATTTTTGTAGAAATTGCAGATGCTGTAACAGTTACCATAACGGTAACATGATCCTTCACAACGGGAATCGCACTGTCGCTAGGATTCGAACCCGCGACCACCACAGGCGCTGCCTCTGAAGCAGAGCGCTTGAAAGACGAGCGGAAAGCGGAGAGGAACCGAGGGGTGGAAGGAGGCGGGGGGCTCACGGCGGAACCTGTAGTTCCGCCACTCCACGCGTTCTCCAACCAATTGCGGGGCATTTCCGCAAACTCATCTTCCGCAACTACACGCCCGCTAGGTCGGGTCGACTCTGAGGCGGACCTCCACTGGCGGAAGGATAAGCGCGGAGTCGTCGGCGCCGCCAGCCCCGCTGCGCCGTCCGCCAGCTCCGCCCCGCTTAGATTGTCCGCCAGCGCGGATGCCACACTTTCCGCCAACGCGCCCCAACCCTTTTTAGGTTCGAGAACCAATCCTTTCGGCGTGAGTACGGGCGTTCGCGTTGGCGTTGCGCTGCCAGAAATGTCAGATTTCGGAGTTTTGTGCGCCGAAATATTTAACCGAGGCGTTAGCGCTTTCCAGCTTCCTCGCCATCGCTTCGCTCCAGCCGCCGCCGCTATCGCCGCCGCCATGGCCGCTCGCTCTTCCGCCTCGAGCTCCGCTGCCGCCGCCGCTTCCCACAGCGAATCGATGTCCACCGCAGAATCCTGAGCGCCGCCACTACGGCCATCCGACTCCGCCATTTCTCCCGCCTCTTCCTCCGCCTCTCCCCCCTCGTCCTCCCCCACCGCATGCACCTCGTCGTCGCCGTCGCATGCGGGGATCGCTATCGACATGGAGCGCCTCCACGACGACGAGGAGAATGTCGCGCGACAATCGGCGAGAGGATCGGCGACAGAACTGGCGTGAGAATTGGCGTGAGAACTGGCGTGAGAATTGGTGTGAGAACTGGCGTGAAAATCAGGGTGAGGATCGGCGTGAGAATTGGAGTGAGAATCGGTTTTTACGGACGTAGGCGGAGCGAGAGCTGAACTCGCGGCGCAAGTGGCGGCGGGTGTGGGGCTGGCACGCAAGTCAGCGTGACTAAAACGAGCGGGAAACGAAGGAGCGCAGGAGGAGAAGTAGAAAGCACTTCTATTTAACGAGGAACACGCGGAGACGGCGGGTGACGTGGAAGGAGCGGATTGGGTTGCACCGGCGGAGTTAGCAGAGGAAGCAGGGAAGGCAGAGGAAGCGGCAGATGCGGCGGAGGGGGAGTCTTCCACAGGCGCAACGGGGGCCGAGGGACAGAATACGGCGTAAGCGCTAGTAGCGGCGCGAGAGGCGGCGGCGGAGAAGGAGGCAGCGCGATTGGCTGCGGCGGAGGCGGAGGCGGAGGCGGAGGCGGCGGAAGAGGCGGTGCAGTGAGGGGTATAACTTCGTGTAGTCGCTTCAGACGAAAAAGGTTTTCGCAACTTGAACGCGAACGCTGACTTCCAACCTCTCATGCTCCGGCGGAACGCGACGACGAAACGCGACGGAACGACGGCGGGAATTCGATTCGGAAGGCCGCAGCGGCGCTGCGTTGGGCTGCTCTCCGACGACGCTACTGCCGCGGCTGGGGGGGGATCATGGCGGCTTGCGCAAGTGACGGGTGAGGTGGCGCATGGAACGGCGGAGGTGGCGCGTGGGATGGAGGATGCGGCGGAACGACGGCGGTTTGCGGGCTTCAAGCCTGTAGACGACAAAAACGTGCACGCCACGCGCCTCACACGCTCCGCGACTCGAGCTGTGCTTATCCGCATGACAGCCGCTGCCTTTTTCAATCTCTTGTAACTCTCTCGTCCCACCTCCACGAAGCGCGCCGCTGGGCTCTGATTCTGGTAATTCGACATTTCTCGCGCCGGAGCGTACTACGTGTTGTTCGAAGAACGATACAGTTTCGACTACTACTGGTAGAGAAACCATTAAGCGTATTAGAAGATCTTGAAGAGCTTATTACGAATTTTGGGTAAGTCAGTAAGGACCACCTAATCACCGCGAGCTAGAGAACCAGAGCCTCAATACCACTCCTCCCAAGAAACCCTACAACCATGTAAGAGCGATTAGGAACGAGTGTCCCTTCACGTGTGGGGGATGGAGCGAGTAAGCAGCATTTTCTCTCCCATCCTTTCCCTTGCCGTTATCTCGCGCTCGTGGGTGCTGCAGCATTCATAACGGCGAACACTGTCTGATCGTGTTGTTTACGTCAACTATTCACATGCGGGCTTCAAACCTCCGGCTGACAAACAAGCTTCGCTTGGATCCATCCATTGTGCTTCTCCTGCAGTTCACGGACAGAAACCGACTGCGAACTCGACTGCTCCACCGAAGAAACACGTACGGAGCGGATGAATGCAACAGTATATGTGCACAGAGATCGAATGCAGGACAGGAGGGTGGGTCTCCTGAGCCGTAGCTCAACTTGTTGAATTTGCGTGTCGAGGAGGGGAGCGAGGCCCACCGTGGAGAGGCGACACACTGTGCCCGAGGCAAATCGATGAGAAGGCTGGAACGGAAGGTTGAAATGAAGGTGCTGGTTGGCGCGCAATGCGCGTCTGGTTCAGGGCTTATTGTTTCGCTCAGGACGCGGTAAGAGTGTAATAATCGCAGGATCGTCTGCACATATCGATCCCCGCAATCGATCGGGCAGATCGATTGGCGAAACGTGGCAATCGCGACGCTGTAACGACCGCTGCTGAGATTTGACAGATCTCCCGCCATAAGTGATCGGTCGCATTTACACACTGCACAAAGAAATTGGCCAAAAAGTACTATAGCATTGTTACAGCTTAGTGAATAAGGTAACCGATCTGCACATCGAGCGTGACTGACGATCGATCGTTGACTTTTACCGGGTCCTTACCGAGCCCAGAATGATGATGATCCTGACAGCAAGTCGTTCAATTGTCTTTGAAAGGTTGATTCTGGTGCGCAATGGTCTAAGGCGGTGAAAGCCAAAAAACGTCCCTAAACGTGATTGACCGTCATAAACCGCGTAAAACTGGACATATTTGGAATTTCCTTCACATGTGGAAGACAAGACAATACAGTACCAGTATTTGGAACATCATTTGGAACATTCTTTATTAGTACCTCCGATACAGTACCAACATAGACATGTAGCTAAATTGTTGCAATTTTGTCAAGCTGTAGCTTGCATCCCGGTTAGTTCTGTAATAAGCCAGCGTTTTATGCAAGTATTGTTAGGTGAATGTAGTGGCGCTACTTGGAACCGCAGGCTATGGAGCTAAATTGCTTGGAGTGGGATACATATTACATCCCAACAACAGTAGTGTATACTACCAACCTAGAGCAGCCAATACAGGGGACACCCATAGAAGACACCTGACAGCCAAGCCGCAGGAGCCTACCCTTTCTCCCTGCCTCAAAATCACCGCAACAATTCACCTCACACCCACTGACACTACGTCGTCGAGAGAATGTCTCGCCACCTCCCTCACGACCGACCGCTGATGCTTGTTTCTTGCGAACCGCGGCACATACAGCACTACAGTGGCTGCAGCAGCACCACCGCTGCCACTACTCCTCGCTCTCTCAAACCTGCCCCTGCCTGAACCCCTTGGTGTAACCAGACCGGACTCACTAGGCTGTTCCGCAGAAGCAAGCAGCCAGGTATCGCTGCTCCTGCTGCTACTACTGCTGCTGCTATGGCTCCTGCTGAACATTCTTCTGTGGCTGTTGCACTGGTGGTGGTGAATGTTCCGGTTCATTGAGAAAGGCATGCAACCCATTGCTGCAGCGCAGCCAGGCTGATTTCCCGCCAGATAATGCTGCTGTTGATCCTCCTCCTCTTCCTCCTCCTTCCCCTCCTCCCCTTCCTGCTCTTGCTCTTCCCAACCCTTTTCCAGCTGCTGCCGCTGGTGCTGTGTGTGCAGGTGCTGCTTTTTCTGCAGATGTTGTTGTGGCACCTTCCCCTGCGGCTGCATGTGCCATTCATGCTGTTGATCCTGCTGGGTCAGAGGAGGGGCTGGGAACCCTCCAACCACACCGAAGCAGCAGGCAGGGGCCATGGAAGGGGTTTTGAGCTCTTCCCAATAATCTTCCTCCACCGCACTCCGCGCCTGCACATCCCCCTCCCCTCCACCGCCTTTCACCACACCCCACTCCACCTCGCTGATTTCTACCACACACTCCTCCATCTTCCCCCTCTCCATCGCACCCCCTTCGCACTGCCTTGCTACGTCAGGCCTCTCCCTTTCCAACCTGGCTACTGCAAAATCCGAAAGGTGTTTCCAAGTCAGCTCAGGAGTCACTCTGCTGCCACTGGGCACGTTGAAAAAAGCTGGAGTTAGGGTTATCTCAAGATTTCTCAAGTCGGGTGCGCTGGCGCCATTCCAAGCCTGCAGCTTTGGCTGGCTTGCCTGGCCTGGCTGGTTCTTTTCGGTTTGGAGGTTTTCAAAGGGTGGAAGGCCTCGGCGGGAGCGAAGTGAGGAAGTCGAAGATGGTATTTTTGAAGCGGAAAAGTCATTCTTAGATGAGGATTGAAGGTCATTGCCGTTAAAACTTCTGGAAGGTTTCATCGTCCTGGCGTGGGGTTTAGATGGAGTCGTTGTAGCACGTTTGCTCCACTCAACTGAGGTGCACTCTGCAGTGTTGTGATGCTGCTCATAAGGGGGACTCCAAGAATCAGCTTCGCACACCAGAACGCCTGTTGGTGAAGATTTCGACGTCGCCATTGCTGTTTCTGGATTTTCGCCTGAAATGTTCGTCGACATCGCAGCTGCTGTAACGGGTATAGTAGGGGCAACAGGATCCCGTACAGTAAATACAGGAGTTGCACCGCCGCTGGGATTCGAACCCGCGACCACGACAGGCGCCACGTCAGCAGCTGAGCGCCTGAAAGACGAGCGCAGAGCAGAAAAGAACCGAGGCGTGGAAGACGTAGGCGGGGGACTAACGGCGGAAATTGCATTTCCGCCACTCCCCGCACTCTCCAACCAGCTGCTTGGGGAGTGCGCTGGCCCCGCTGCACTGTCCGCCAGCTCCGCCGATCTTAGATTATCCGCCAGCGCGGATGATACACTTTCCGCAAGCGCGCCCCAACCCTTTTTAGGTTCACGAACAACCAACCCTCTCGGCGTGAGTACCGTTGTTGTTCTGCTCGGCGTTTTTGAAACACCGGAATCTTCAGATTTCGGAGTTTTAGGCGCTGCAGCCATCGTCAACCGGCTAGTAGGCGTTGCTGCTTTCCAGCTTCCTCGCCACCGCTTCGCTCCGGCCGCGGCCGCCGCTGCAGCCGTAACCGCTCGCTCTTCCGCCTCGAGCTCCGCCGCCGCCGCCGCTTCCCAGAGCGAATCGATGTCAACCGCTGTGTCCTGCGCGCAGCCGCTTAGTCGATCACACTGCGCCAAATCTTCCGCCGCTTCCGCCGCCGTCAGCTCCGCCGTTTCCCCCGCGTCTTCTCCCGCCCCTCCGCATTCCGATTCCCGCGCCTCTCCGCAAGCGGGGATCGCTATCGACATGGCGCGCTTCCACGACGCGGAGCGGGTCGCGTGACAGTCGTCGCGAGAAGCGGCGTGAGTTTCGGCGTGAGAATCGACCTCTTCACAATGATTGAGTGCAGGCGGAGCGAGTGCTAGGCTAACTGCGGAAGCGGCGGCGGCGGCGGCGGCGGTGGTGGTGTCAGAATGATTACAACGGGCGGAAAACGAAGGAGCGGAGAAAGAAGAGGTGTTTCTGGGTAATGAGGCGCACGCGGAAATGCCGCTGGATGACGTGGAAGCAGCGGATTGGTTAGAAACGATGGCGGATGCGAAGAAAGCGGCGGAGGCGGCGGAGTCTTCTGGCGGGCTAACTAGCGGCGGAGCGCTGCAAGCTGCGCGAGAAGCGACGGGAGAAGAGGAGGCGGAGCAATCGGCAGCGGCGGAGCTTGAGGCGGCGGAAGACACAGCACAGCGGTTGGAGAGGAAACGCGGCGGAAGAAGCGCGGAAGGGGAAACCCGAAAGGAGAAACCAGGAATGCGGAAACGGGAGCAAAGCAGTTTTCCGTTGAAGCAGGCGCGAGTGGGAAAGGTACTCGAATGACCACCGAACCGACGCTGGCTTTCGCAGCCGCACTCCGCCGATGCTGCTTCCGCGGCTTGGGGGGGGTTTGCACATGTGACAGGGGAGGCGGCATGGGGGACGACAGATGTTGTCGATACGGCGGGGCGACGGCGGTTGACGCGCTTCGTGCTTAAGGATGGCAGGAACGTAAACGCGGCGCGTCTCACACGCTCCGCCGCTCGGGCCGTCTTGATCCATGCGACAGCCCCCGCCTTTTTCGCTCTCATGTATCCCTCTCGTCCCGCCTTCTTGAGGCGCGCCGCTCGGCTCTGATTTGAGCAATGCAACATCTCGATCGAGGCGTGATAAAAACGCAATTTTATGCGTTTGGAGAGTGCAGAAACGTCGATTACCAACTATTGCCAGAGATAACGACAAATATACATCAGGGCCATCCGCCGAGATGTCTTAGTAGCATCCTATCATTGACGCCCAGCGCCAAATGAATATTGGTCGGGTCGGGAATTATGACAAATAAATTCTGGTAGTCAGATAAGGGCGGTGTTCGCCAGCACCTTTGAGATTGGAAGAAAATGGAAGGCATTGGACTGGCAACGGCATCAGGAAGCGGGGTCGGAACCCTCCGAAAAGGTTTGGGCGAACTGCCACCCGCGAACTTTCCAGCCCCGACATGAGAAACTTCACAACCGCATATGGAACCCCACACCCCACCTTCCTCCGACAGCCAATTACATCGCCAAACCACGGCGGTCCACGTGAAATGGTGGATTGCCACGGGATGGCATGAGACGGGACGTTTGCCTGGGGAGGAAGTCGCGTCCCCATTTCCGAATGCCATGTTTCCTTCCGAAAATTGAGAAAAATGAGAGCGTTCGCCAGGCACCGCAGATTGCTTTAGGCTCGGACGACATCCTAGCTTCGGCACGAATTTTACGGGCTGACCAGGCTGACGGAGCTTAACGAACCCTAACTGACGGGATCAGGAAGGCGTGACTGACCTTCCAGATCCCATCGTTTTCGTTTTCAAAAGTGCTGGCGAACACCGCCAAGGTAATGTAATTACCAGAGGCATGAGCGCTCAGTGTTTTCCCAACGAAACCCTACAGCGACTTGCTCCAGCCAGAAATCACTTCACGATTGCTGTGACATACTGTACAGGGCAGTGATCACTTCTGCTTCGGGGGGTGAACATCTTCTCCTCGTCTCTCTCTCAGTGCTTGGAGGGGTTGAACTGTTCTTATTCAAATGCGTCGGAGAGCAGCTGCGATGCGCTGTGCACTGTACTTACGACCCCACGCATCGTTCGCGAAACCCAGCGCCAAGTGCGAAATGCAACTCCACACCACATGACTCGACACGACGATTTCTTCGTGCGCGTGCGACAAGAAGATAAAGAGGGCAGGAAGAGAGAGGAGTGTGAGTGGTTGGGGTTGGGTGATTTGCTGAGCCCCACTGCAATTTGGCTGCCTTTGCGCACCGTGTCGTCGTGCGCGCAATCTGTTTGTGTTGACACTGTAACGGATCCTATATAATCTCTACATGATTCATTTACGATTACAACAGTAAAAGTGGTGGAAGGAAACAGCAGTGCTTCGTGCTTCAGATCACGGTTCTGAAGTCTGGCTGGACACCATCTGAAGTGTGGACACTTTGGTGTAGCAATGAACACGTCTGATTGGCTGCCATGCTCCAAGATTTCTCGCCACTTGTGTAATGACCAATGATCGGGTGTGTCTACACGTCACTGTAGAGCCGTGACCTCAGTAAGTGGCCGAAGCTGTCCGACTGACCGATCGCTATTTCCCGACCCGGCTTGTGTTCGTCAGCGACTCGGAATATCCTTTGACAAACGTGACGGTTGCCGTTCACTCGGTAGCCCCCGAAGTCCGTCCAGCGAGCATCAGTCAGCACCTAAGTACTGTCAGTACGTACGTAAGTACGTGAGCTGTGTTTGACACAGATGTAGGGAGACATGTATATCTATCACGTTTTGTGAGGGTAGTTTTCCGAATCTGCTAGCTGGTTTTCTTATGGATGTTGTGGACAGAGCTGAACAGCAAACAAACGACTTTTTCCTTCTCTACAGTACCTCTACAGTAACTTTTCGAGCAGCACACAAGGCTAGTGGGGCGGGTGCAGTGAAAAAGGAAAGAGCAAGAGTCATCCCAAAGACGCTTGGTTGGGCAGGCAGAAAACTTGTTCACCATTCGAAACCTACGTGTTTTTGCGACGCGACCTGATAATGAAGTACTGTACTGTATTTTGATATGATGTTCACTGCCCATTTAGGGCGGATCTAAAGAGTACGTCTGATTGCGGTTCAAAAAGGTTGAGGCTTGATCCAGAGAGGTCTTTTGTAAACACGAGATGGTTGGGTAGGGTTTTCTGTAAAAACGTGCAAAGTTTGACCCGCCCTTACACGTACACTGCCATAATATATAACTGTACAATTCCACGTTGGTCCCACAGACACGACCATTCACTCTTGCTCAGGATTTCCATCAATCACGACTGACCGGAGACCCGCGTCAGATAGTGAAATCCTTGCAAGTGCGACTTTCGACCGAGGAAAGGAAACAGAGTGTCCCACGTTGGAAGACTACGTTGAGCTCCCACCGAAACGTTGAGCTCCCACCGAAACTGCAACACGTTTTCACCTGATGCTCGTTAGAGCCCCTCCCGGTTGCCTTGTGATCTGGGTCTGTAAGCTAAACCTGCACTTCGCCGGGCATTTGTGAATTTCGTCAGGCGTCCAGCGTGCTTCAAACCTGCACATGGTAACCACCCAGTTTGTCTGATTCGCAACACTAAGGGGTTGCAGCACTTGTCCCTGCTGTGCGTTTAGACTTACTAAACGAACGCTACAGTACTGAAACAAGCATGCACAACAATTGTTCTTCGTAGTACAAAACAGTCAAAACACAAACATCTTCCAATCAACATCCCCCACCTGGCCCCTCATCTCCATTCAACACACAAAACGAAACACGTACAAATGGGCACAAGGAGTGAACACTTGTGCTCTCAGCAAAATCCCTTCGACACCTTGCTGGGTCTGCTCCACCCCCCCCCCTCACAGACGCATCCACTCAGCCGCGTCCACATACCCGTCCATCACGGCGCCCACACCGGCGTCAAGCAGCTGCTGACGGCGAGACGGACGGGTCATCCAGCCGGGCAGCACACGGCCGCGCGGACGAGGGGTCTCGGGCGTGGGAGTTGCGCCCGGGGAGGGTACAGGCTGAGGCGCCACGTTCAGGTTGAACGACGGGTTCGCTCGCTCCATCCGCGCGATTATGATGGGGTTGCGGATATCGAACAGATGGCACAGATCGCGGGGCGTGATGCGGGTGGCCCGTGCATATCCGATGAGCATCTCGCATGCCGCCCGGGCAGTGCGCCGCGCTTCGCGTCCCACGGGGTCGGCGTCATCGTAGACGGCTTGCATGGTCGTCGGCGCCTGCCAGAGCTCCACCTCCAGGCCCGCCTCCGGCTCAGTCGTAGGCTGTTCCGCAGCGCCCTCGGCCGACGTTGGCTCGCCGTCGTCGATGGCGACGTACTCTGCGGCCGTCATCGCCGCATTCCCGAATGCGAGCCCGCTAATGAGCGTCCCGACATCGTCGATGTCGTCGTCGAGCTCGATGTCAGGGTAGAAAGCGGGGGTGGGCTTGTCGTCGTATACATGCGTCATCTCCACGGACCACGAGAGCGGCAGACACCCCGTGCGCCACCAGCACCGTTGAATGGTGCGCGCGCCGACAGAGGTCCACGCGTCCGACAGCCACGTGAGGACATCGCGCAAGTTCGTGCGAAAACGCGCGACGGCGGAAGTCGCACCGTCGGCGTTCCACAAAGCCGAGAAGGCCCGCAGCCAATGCTGTCGGTAGCGGGCCTTTGCGGTGGCGATGATGCCCTGATCGAGCGACTGTGTGAATGCGGTGGTATTCGGCGGCAGGAAGACCAGCCGCACATTGCTCATGCAGGTCGTCCGCATGCCGCAGACGATCTCGCTCCATGCGAGCTCTAAGCGGAGCATGTGGTTGCTCGCGTTGTTGAGCAGCACCACGATCTTGCGACCTTCGGCGTACATCGCAGCATTGAGTTGTGATATGAAATGTGTGAATAACTGTAGGGAGGGGAAGGGAGGGGAAGGCGGAATGTACATGGGAACATTGTAAGCACAAGCACATTCCAGACATGTGTGATATTATGTGTAATTTGTGCGAAGCATCAAGAACGCACGAAACAATCAAACATTACGAGCTTACCGGCGAGGTCATCCAGCCTTTCGCGTTGTGCCGCCAGTAGCAAAGGGATTCAGGGTCATAATCCGGGCGGAAGTCATGCGGCCGCTTCGCCTTACTGATCACGAGCGGTCGGAATGCGTGGCTCCCATCAGCATTGACGAGGAATGCGACGGTGAGCCATTCCTTCGATACTTTGCGGCCGGGAATGCGGCCGTTGCTGTACGTGCGCCGAGGGAGCACGGACAGCCAGTGCGCCGTCTCATCGAGGTTGAAAGTGTCCCGCGGGGTGACACCGAGATGCGTGAGGAGTTGCGGCAGCTTCTCACGTGCGTCGCGCACGGCGGCCATGTCCGCGCTAGCCGCCTCGCCTTGTGCTGCACGGCACCTCACTCCCTAGCGCCGCAAAGCACGGCGCACCCAGCCGATGGAGCAGCGGAATGTGGGCGGAATGCCCATGTTCCGTGCCATCGTTGCGACGTGGTCGCGGATGGTCTGCAGCGTCAGAGGCACGCCAGCGGGCCCTGCGTTTGCGATCCACCGCGCCATGGCCTGCTCCAGCTCAGGCCATGCGCCACCTCGACGGCACACTTGGTTGTCGCCGGGTGCCGTGACAGCCCATTGCTTGGCGCTCTTCAATATGCGGCCGACAGTGGAGCGATCCGGGCGCAATCTGTACTGCGAGTAACACCACATCGCCAGGTCAACATGACGCAGGCGGGGGTTGTCGACGTGGTGCGCGCAAATAGCGCGCTTGATATGGAGCGGGAGCTGCTCCCGTCGATTAAAGCGGGGCATTGTTAGCGGCTGGGGTGTGAGAGAATGCTGACTTAGTGAATTAGTTGTTCGCATTTTATCGTCACATGTCGGGCGTGCTGGGCAATACTGGGGCATGTTCTTTGTGGCTTGTCACATTTGTGTGATTGGTGTTCGTTCCATGCACTTGGCTTGCATTTTTTATCGTGTGGTTTGGTAACCAAACGATCGAATGTCTGGCGTGGGGTGGGCGTACAACGCCTGGCTGATAATGCGCTTGTACCGTGCAAGTGCCGAATTACACGTGGCAACGTGAATCTGACCAAATGCCTGTTACACGCACGATGATCCTTGCTCAGGTGGCGGGCTAGATGGGCGAATGCGTTCACGAAACCATATTCGTTTCGTCCATTCATTTCGCCTCTCTGACTCCTGGCCTAGAAACAAGGCAAATTTGGGTCGTCGTGGCTTGTTCGGGACTGCACGTGCATTGATGGCCGAGTTGCGTGTACTGTTGCCAGCCACCCATGTGCTCGTACTGTGGGAGCAGCAAGCAGGGGTTTCCAGCTCGGGGGCAGCGTTTCCATCCGGTGCATGGCAATTTCGCGTGCACTGGTCGGGCATCATGTGTAAATCACATCCCAAAACCGAAGGATTCTAATAAAAAAATGTTCGTCGAACAGCCACTTTCTTCCACAACTGACAACTGTAACACTGCCTCTTTTCCTGGTCCCCAGGGACGGCATGAAAAATCATCATTTTTTCTGCATAACTGTAGTCTCTCTACAGCGCGTGTTGCTTACAGAAAACGCCAGCTTCTATCTGGTCACTCATATTATTCAAAAGGATACTTATCTTCATCCTCTGGCACATGCAGTTCACGTATACGACACTAGTAAGTAAAGCGGTAAAATACACACACGGTATGTAATCCTTTCTCACCAATCTTGAAGCATAATTGACCTGCAGATGCAGCATGCATTTCGATGTCCTCCCAAACTTAGGCACACATTCACGCTCACTAGTAACACACTTGTATGCCTACTTGTGTCAACACCCTCCAAGCTTCTTGACTGGACAACAATGCTTCACTTCTCTTCAACCTGCGGCACGACAAACGAGTCAAATAATAAAAATAATGGTGGCACAGCAGCTACGTGTTATATGCAGGACTCGATTCAGCCCCGCTGGGCTCGTGCTAGGGAAGCCAAAGCCAGCATCCCAACAGTGCATAAGAAAGAGTCAATCACCCATAGGAGCAACATCACAGCACAATGTAATACAAGCCATGTGATAATACGGTGCCAGCAAGGAATGCAAGCATCATTTGGCCTTGGCGCAATCTCCCCTCTTACACTTTCAGGGCAGTTTCAACTTACATGCAATCCAGGGCAGCATCAACTTACATGGAATCCAGGGCAGCATCAACTTACATGGAATCCAGGGCACTGCCCGCTTCTCCCATGCCTCAAAACACTCCTTCATCTGCAAATCAGACCAGGCATTCAACAGCCAGCACACCGGCCTCACCTGCGGCAGGCTTATGAGCCCCATGACAGCCTCCTTGGGCTCCAGCTTGCCCTCCAGAATCCGAGCAACAGCAGTCAACTAGAGGTGCTTGCGGGTGAGGGTAATCAGTGACCAGCAATCATACAGCAAACGCATGCGCCTAACCTGCGGCAGACTCATGAGCTCCATGACAGCCTCCTTGGGGCTCCAGCTTGCCCTACAGAATGGGCGCCACGCCAGTCAGCACAGGCATATGCACGCGGTACTTGCGGGCGAGGGAGATGACGGCAATCTCCCGCAACCAACCAGCAACAACAGGGATCACCCAGGCAGCACAGCAGCCTCACCTGTGGAAGGCTCATGAGTTCCATAACACCCGAGCGAGATGACGGCGATCACCCCACCATCATCCAGCCAGCCCATATGTCTCACCTGCGGCAGGCTCATGAGCACCATGACAGCCTCCTTGGGCTCCAGCTTGTCCTCCAGGATCCGCACAGCAGCAGTGAGCACAGGCATCTGCACGCGATACTTGAGGGCGAGCGAGATGACGGCGCCTGACGTGGCGACGCCCTCGGGAGGCCACCACCCATCAACCATCCAGCAGTCGTCCAGCAAAACCATTAAGGCCTCACCTGCGGCAGGCTCATGAGTTCCATGACTGCTTCTTTCGGTTCCAGCTTGCCCTCCAGGATCCGTGCAACAGCCGTGAGCACGGGCATCTGCACGCGGTACTTGCGGGCGAGCGAGATCACAGCGCCGGACGTGGCGACGCCCTCAGCCACCTGGGTCATGGAGGAGAGGATGTCTTCGAGCTTCTCGCCCGACCCCAGGCGCACGCCCACCGTGCGGTTGCGGGAGAGGGACACAAAGCACGTCAGCATGATGTCGCCCGTGCCGCTCAGCCCGGCCAGAGTGGTGGGTTTGGCGCCCATCTGCGTAGTTTTTGAAAGGGGGTGGGGAGGTGAGTGGGGAGGGAGAGATGCGAAGGGATGAAAAGAGGAAGAGGCCGAGGCAACGCCTGTGGCACCATGGAAAGCCCTCTTCAACTGGCCTCTCCGCGACCTGGGTCATGGAGGAAAGTACGTCCTCTAGCCTCTCGCCCGACCCCAGGCGCACGCCCACCGTGCAGTTGCGGGAGAGGGACACAAAGCACGTCAGCGTGATGTCTCCGGTGCCGCTCAGGCCCGCGAGCGTGGTGGGCTTAGCGCCCATCTGTGGGTAAGTCGGGGTGAAAGGAGGAAGGCGCGCGAGGGACTGACCGCCTCTGGCAGCTTCCAAGCCATGTTTTCATGCATCCATCCACCAACTCTTCCATCACGCCTCACTCACCTTCTCTGCAAGCCACCGGATCTCGGAGCAGCCCTGAGCCACGAGAGCAGCCATGCAGTTGTTGCCCAGCTGCATGCCCTCCACTATCCCCTCCATCCCTTAATTCATCCGCCTAATCCTCCACCCACCCATCCAACCCTCCATGCACCTATCCAACCCCCCATACATCCATGCATCCATGCGCCACGCCATACACCCATGCATCCATGCGCCTCTTTATGCATCGATGCATCCCTCAAGCACCTTCTCTGCAAGCCATCGAATCTCGGAGCAGCCCTGAGCGACGAGGGCAGCCATGCAGTTGTTCCCCAGCTGCATGCCCTCCACGATCCCCGCTGCTATCGCCAGCACGTTCTTTAGCGCGCCTGCCATCTCCACTCCCACCACGTCACTGTGAGTTGTTAAGAGAGAAAGAGATGAAGTGGGAGAGAGGGATAGCAACAGTGAAGAGGGATAAAAAGGAGAGCGGAACAGGTGGGTCATCTGTCCTTGGTCCCCAGCTGCACGCCCTCCACTATCCCCGCTGCTATCGCCAGCACGTTCTTTAGCCACCTGCCATCTTCACGCCCACCACGTCACTGTGCATTGTGAGGGAGGTAGGAAGGATCGGTGGGAGAGGAGGACAGGAACAGGGATAGGGATAGGGACAGGGATGGGGATAGAACAGAGGACTTGAGATGTGATGATGAGCACTTGAGCGTATGCACATAACATAACGAACACACATGATTACGTGGGTACGCATGCACACATACGTCGATATGCATGCACACATACATGGATACGCATGCCCACATACATCGATAGGCATGCCCACATACATCGATAGGCATGTCCACATACATCGATAGGCATGCCCACATACATCGATAGGCATGCCCACATACATCGATAGGCATGCCCACATACATCGATAGGCATGCCCACATACATCGATAGGCATGCCCACATACATCGATAGGCATGCCCACATACATCGATAGGCATGCCCACATACATCGATAGGCATGTCCACATACATCGATAGGCATGCCCACATACATCGATAGGCATGCTCACATACATCGATAGGCATGCCCACATACATCGATAGGCATGCCCACATACATCGATACGCATGCACACATACATCGATAGTCATGCACAATAGAGAACATTTACGAAGGAATATACATGGATTCACATGCACACGTACGTGGTGGTGTTGACTCGCAGGGTTTTCGACGCCAGCAGCTTCTGCGCCCTCTTGGCCAGCGCCAGGTCCTTGCTGGCCGCCACCAGCGCTGATGACGGGAGAGAGAGGGAGGGCAGGAGGGGAAAAAAAGGGGTGGCAACGGGGGGGGGATCGTTACCAGCTGAACATGCCAGCAGCTTCTGTGCCCTCTTGGCCAGAGGCAGGTCCTTGCTGGCCGCCACCAGCGCTGAAGAGGGAGAAGGAAGAGGGGGGGAAAGGGGTGGGGACAGGAAGAGAGTTACAAGCCGAACTCGTTAGCAGCTTCTGTGCCCTCTTGGCCAGCGCCAGGTCCTTGCTGGCCGCCACCAGCGCTGGTGACGGGAGAGCGAGGGGAGAGAGATGGAGACGGGGAAGGAAGAGCTGAAGAGATGGGAGGGGGGAGAGAAGGGGGAGAGGCTTGGGGCACCTAGAGGCACGCCAGCAGCTTCTGTACCCTCGTGGCCAGAGGCAGGTCCTTGCTGGCCGCTACCAGTGCTGATGGAAGGTGGGTACGGAGAGACAATCACCATGGGCTGGCGGGGGTTGCCCAGCCCGCGTGGTGATCACCACCTGCGTCATCATCTCCATTCATCGTGCCCAGCTAAAAGCCCCTTGCTCACCAACATGTTTGACTCACGTAACTGACTGACGGACTGGCTGATAAATTCACTGACGGATTGGCTGCCTGACTGACAGGTTGACTGAAAGGCATCGCACTGACCCTCCAGGCAACCCAGCAGCACTCACCGGTGGGCAGCTCGCGGATGATCTCAACGGCAAAGGTGGGTCCCGAGAGGATGACAACTGGCTGGCGGGGGTTGCCCAGGCCACGAGGAATGACCTCCGTCATCATCTCCATGGTGCCCAGCTCCAACCCCTTGCTGACGCACAGGATGGGCAGCGTCGGCGGCACGTACTGTGCTATGGACTGCAGGAACGCCGCGCTGGGCTGCAGGCAGGGAAAAAGGAGGGGAGGGGGGTTGGGAGA